AATTTAATAAGTGGGGTATACCCTACCATCATTTTTAATAGTGTTCCGAACCTCATGCGATTCTGTTTGATTCTATTCGATTCCAATTTTCGGAACCATACTGCCATATTCACATATTATTAGTGAACATTTAGCAGCTGGTCAAACATTGTAGCAAATTGATATTTACGAGCACTGGTGGATTCAAGGTCGCCATTTCAAATTTTTAGAAGATTCCATATGTCCTGTTAACGATAATAGCACTGGTCTCCAACCTCTTCTGCAGTCTTTTGCACAGCAATATTAATTCTGGTCATCATATTAACAAGTTGCTGCTTATGCCCAACTGGAAGAGTTGGCATATGCTTCTCCTATTGTACTAAAAAATCCTATTATTAATAGGTTACGAGGAAGACCAGTTGAAGCAAAAAACTGAAGTCAAAGATCAATACAAAGAGATCCATCTGAATTTGAGTTTGTCGAAAAACAGCCAAGGCAATGTAGTATATGTCATCAAACTGGTCACAATAGTCGAACATGTCCTAATATAATATAAAAACTAAAATATAACATGTATTTCATAACTTTTATCTCGATGTGCAAAGTTGTTGCAATGCCTAATATGCTAATTTAAAAATTTATAACTCAATATCACATGGAGGATGGTGTTAACAAAATGTAGGGGTGGCAATAACAACTTCCTTTTTTTATTACAATAATTGGAAATTTAAAACAATTAAATCAAACAATTTTTAATTATAGTAATTGGAAATTTAAATTTAAAATAAAATAATTTAATAAAAATCAGATTGGTTTTGATTTGATTTAAAACTAATAGTTTTTGAGTTTAATCAGATCGGTTTCGGTTTTAGTTAAAATCGATTGATAGGCAATCAGCTGTCTTATTAGTCACATGATTAATAAACAATATAGTTAATTATGAATCACGTGGTATATTTTATAAAAAAAAATACTTTTGGTTTTGTAAACCGAATTTTCCTGTCTCATTGCTAACATGGCAGAATATAAAGGTGCTTCATCAGAAGGTCAACGACAGGCCATGCTGGAGAAGAAAAGGGCGAAAATGTTAAGCGATTTCGAAAAGCAACGTGAAAAAATCGCTAAAGTGAGTAAGTTGGTCATTTACTTATGTTCTTGCGCGAAATTGCGGCTGGGGTATTAGCCGTTTGAAAGAGCACCTTTGATTTGATTCTTCACAGCAATTAAAGCTCATCGATCATTTATTTTATCATTTAAGGACAATCAAGTCAACATAACTACTAGTAAATTTGTCACGCAATACGACGATGTAGAGGATTCGTTAAAAAAAGAGACGATTGGTTTGGTCAAGCTTGAAGATTTTCAGAAAATTCGAAAGGAATTGCAAGTTCAGAAAGAGAGAGAGGCTGCTAGAACTGCAGAACTAAAGTACGTTTTTTGCGAATTTTGCAAGCTGTTCGGTATTATTAGATTATTGAAGGGTTGTGAAAAAAAAATTTTTTTTTAGAGACGACAAGATTAAAAAGAAACGAAAGAAAAAGGAAAAGGTTAAATTATCATTTTATCTGGATGATGCAGAAGATGATCAAATAGATGATGACAGCGCTATTAAAAATGGAAGCACCATTAATACTATAGATTCCGAGAACAAAAATGATAATGTCGAAGGTAAGTTAGTGGAGTAGTGTTTTTTGATACCATTCATTGTTAATATTCATTGTTCACATTATTATAGAAAAAACAGAATCCCTATCTCCACCGAAGAAGAGACCCAAATTAGGTAAAAATCCCAATGTTGATACTTCGTTTTTGCCTGATAGAGATAGAGAGGAGGAGGAGCGTAAAGAAAGAGAAAAGTTGCGACTAGAATGGTTGCGAAAACAGGAAGAAATAAAAGGTTTTTTTATTTTACTTTTAACTCAATCAAAGGAATTTTGTTCTTCTTGCTAAAGATCACCCTGTTTCTTTTTTCACATTAATTATTAGAGGAAAAAATAAGTGTTACATATTCATATTGGGATGGTACTGGTCATCGTAAAACTGTTGCGTGCAAGAAAGGCGATTCAATCGCCGACTTTCTAGAAAAATGTCGACTACAGTTTCATGAATTGCGCGGAGTAAGCGTAGATAATCTTATTTATGTAAAAGAGGACCTGATCATTCCCCATGTCCGTGCATAAATCACAATTTATTATTTTTTAACAATGGAAATTGATCACGGAAACTAACGTTTTGCACTTATTTAATAGCATTACACGTTTTATGATTTTATTATCAACAAAGCAAGAGGAAAATCGGGACCATTGTTTAACTTTGATGTTCACGATGATATTCGCTTGACACATGACGCTACAGTTGAAAAGGATGAGGTATATTGAAATATAAGTCGGGATTTCATTTTAGTATACTAATCGTTCTCACATATTCGACAGTCACATGCAGGTAAGGTTGTTGAAAGGAATTGGTATGAAAAAAATAAACACATTTTCCCTGCGAGTCGATGGGAAGTTTACGATCCGGAGAAAAATGTAAGTTTCACAGTTTGAATGTTATTAAGTGATCAACCATTCATCTAATGATTCATGTCATTTTTTAGTATGGAAAATATACAATCAAATAAAAATTGAGTAAATAATAATAAAGCTTATTAATTGGAATATGGTTGAGATAATTAAAATCCATTACTGAACATCCATGTGAATTACGAGATGAGAATTTTGTTCTAATGATTAGTCAAGTGTTCGAATCTAATAAATTTATTGTAATTTTGATTTCTCGATTTATATGAATTTATGTTCTGCCTGGTTTCCTTACATGAATAGTCTGAAGGAACGCACGTGAATCTTATTGTAGGTCACGTGCTAATTCGTAATACGTATCTAGAAAAAATATGACGCGTTTAATTTAAAACGCGAAGAAATTTTGCTTTCTTAACCTAAAATAGAAGCACCTTATTTCATTGCGAAACTTTTTTTGCAAAAAAAATGTCTCAAGTTGTTGATCCAATCGTTCTAAAAGAGACTTTTCCTGAGATCTTCAAGAAATTTCCGGAACTAGACTTGGGCATTATCTTCGAAGCTTTAGATGAATCAGAGTTCGATGAGGAGGCCGCCATCGAAGCTCTCATCGGTGGAAATGCTGCTGCTGCGTCGTCTGCATTCAGCAAAAGTGATACTCGAGTCTCGACAGCTGGGAATGAGAATACTTCGTCTCCTCTTTGTCAAAATGATAACGCGTCTATGGATGTTGATATTCAAACGCCCGTTAAACATGAATCTACGGTTAGTGATAATCAAACGTCTGTTAAGCACGAATCTATGGATATTGATCACGAAGAGCCGAACGAACGTACTTCCCCACGCCTCAAGCGTAAACATGAGTCTACCTCTAAACCTAAACATAAGGTCTCTTCGAAACCTCAAAAGAAGTGCTTGCGTTATTATAGGTTTAGGGAGGATGAAGTTGAAGAAAATGAATCATTTGAACTCATCGGTGAAGACCCGGTGTCCAGGGATACACAGGAGTCTGGGAATGATGATAGAAATACACTCCCGTGTCGTATTCTGGAAAACTTCATCGTATATGATGTTTCCGAGAAAAACCGAGTTGTCAGCATAGAGGAAGTTGATGAAGAAGGAAGAGAAATACATGCTTCAGGAATAGTGAAACCAATATATGTCGGTCAGGATGATGAGGAAATTGAAGAGGATGAAGACAATGAGGAGGAAAAAATTCCTGATCAATATTTTAGAACGAGCACGATCTTTTATTTTCAAATAGATTATACCCCGGGTGGGCAAAGTGAAATATGGTTACGAACGCAGTATGCGTTTTACAAATTATTAAAGGCATCCGACGATTATTTGCCATACTTTATACCTGTGTTTAAAAGAATTCGCGCCGCGAACTTGGCGATCGAGGCAATGGTCAGTGATGCTAATATTACGTATGATCGTTTCATTGAAAATCTTCAGGAATCGGCTTCTTCGTTTTCACCTTCGTCCTGTGTACCGGAATCTTTAGCTGTCAAATTAACCGAAAAAGATATAATAGAAAACCTTGAATATATTACTGAGGAAATAGAGTCATGGGTGAGTGAACAAGAGGCTTTTGGAATCTTCGATAGCCCGCTGTTGGCTAAGTTTAATGAGCTTCGAGATAAAAACATGAACAAGAAGCAGAAAAGGTTTAGAACGATAAGCACAGTAAGCACAGATACAATTAAGACAAGACGTAGCGTTGTGAAAAATCCCAATCTGTCTGTTCTACAACATCAAAATCAAACGTGCGTGACACCTTTCATTAACGAATTGACGGGGGGCCTTTTTTCGAGAAAGCTAATCACGGTAAACCATGCACAATCTGGAGTGGTGCAAGATGAAGGTTTGGCAGCCACAAAATCGCCGGTAGTAGTGAAACAATTCACTCATAAGGTCGAATGGAGCGATAATAAAATTGCTCAAAATGGCGATGTTACTTATTATAAATCAGCAACTGTCGATGGCGAAGTTATAAATGTCGGAGATATTGTTTACGTGCGAAATGATGTCTCCGATGAACCATGGTTTGCCAAAGTCGAATACATGTTTGACCATCCGGTGGAAGGTAAGATGTATCATTCCAGGTTCTTTAATCACGGAAGGGATACAGTTCTTGAAGAGATGGCCGGGTCACGGGAAATTTTCCTCTTGGATAATTGTACGGATAATCCTCTAGAAACAATTATGGGAAGGGCCAATGTCAAAAGGCTCGAGTCAGAGGAAGATGAATGTTTTACATTTGAAGACGATAAATATTATTTCTATCGATTTTGGTATGATGAAGAGTTTGTAGCTTTTGAAGATGTGCGATTTCATGAAAATCCTAACGCGCAATTCATATATTGTGATGAGAATGAAAAATGTCACTCATGTGAACGACAACTGACCAAGAAAGTCACGAAAATCCCAAAATGGATATCATCAAATCCTAAAGATGGATTTTTGTATGAAGGTGTAGAGTATCACCTTCACGATTTTGTTTACATGGTACCAGAATCAAAAGAAAGTCCGTATGATATTGGTCAAATTGTCGATATATCAAGTAAGGGCGAATATATGGCTATAGAAGAATATTTCAAAGGAGTTGGTGATGCCCCTGAAAAGCTTGCGTCAGTTGCAATTACAGTCAGATTACTTGGTCGCCACGATGACATCATCAAAGCTAGGACGAAAACAACAATCAACATGTCGGCATCTTATAGGGACATAATTACTATATCCGAAGAAGTTAAAGATTGTCGTCGCCTTTACTTTACAGATGAAACGAAGTATTTAAAACGCATCGAAATATTAGAAGGGTTATGCACTGTCAATCATAAAGATAATATTACTGATATTGAAAACTATAAAGATGAAAGTGATACTTTCTATGTGGATTGCAAGATACAAAAGTCGCCCACAGGATTAGCGAATGCGACCGAGATTCCAATAAATGCCAATGAGGTATTGATTTGTCGTATTTGTGCGGATCACCGTCAGCACAGACAAAAAACGATGAATGAATTTATGGAATTCATTATGAATAATCAGAAGAAACTCCGGTCAATGGATATTTTTTCGGGTTGTGGTGGTATCACTGTTGGTATGGATCAAACGGGCGTCGTGGATACAAGATGGGCTATAGAGTTTGGCTCTAGCGCGGCGCTGACGTTTCAAAAAAATCACCCGAATTCTATTACGTACAATCAGTGCGCCAACATCTTACTACAACGAGCGATTGATGAACACAGTAATAAAAAGGAGCTCAATGTACTATACGATTTTTTGGGCCGTAAGGTTCCAAGCATGCCTGCTCCAGGTGATGTCGACTTTATTTATTGTGGACCGCCTTGTCAAGGGTTCAGTGGTGTAAATCGATACAAAAAAGCAGATGATATTAAAAATTCGTTGGTTGCAACTGCTCTTAGTTATGTAGACTTTTATAGACCGGAATATTTTTTATTAGAAAATGTGCGAGGAATGCTCTGCTTCCGTCTAGGAGGTGAACAAGATGGTATACGAATCAAGGGTGGGATTAAGATGGGCGTCGTGAAATTCATCCTACGCGCGTTAACTTCAATGGGATATCAAACACGTTTTAGTGTTCAACAAGCGGGGAGCCATGGAGTTCCACAAAGTCGACGACGTTTATTTATTTGGGGTGCCAAGCGGAACTCCTATTTACCTGACTTTCCTCAGCCCTCCACATGTTTCTCTAAGCAAGGATCTGTCAATATATTGCTTCCAAACGGAAACTCCTTTACATATAATAAACGCACTAATGGGCATGCACCATTACCACCAGTGACTGTTTGGGAAGCAATTGGAGATCTGCCGGCCTTTGAATTCATTAATCCTCACAGTGTTTATCCAGAGACTGAAGAGGACAGAGGACAGTTGCGTCCATTTAAACAGATAATGGTTCCAGAGAGAGGCTTTGTCGGAGATAACATCTCTGAATATAAATTAAGACCTTTATCCGAATATCAGAGACAACTTCGCAAAGAAGCTAACATTCTTCATAATCATGTAACTCGTGCTTTTAACAATTTAACCGTTGAACGTATAGTTCGAATACCAATGTTTCCAGGTGCCGACCACTCGAGTAAGCATTTAAAGTTTCTTGATGTTTTCGTGTAACTGTCTCATTTTATTCTGCATTAGACCTTCCGGAAAAACTTAAACCTTGGTGTTTAAGTGATCCTAATTCGGCTGCTAGTCGGCATAATGGATGGAAAGGACTTTTTGGTCGTCTAGATTTTGATGGTCATTTCCTCACGGCTCTAACGGACATAAATCCAATGGGGAAAACGGGGGTATGAATCATTTTGATTTTTTTTCCTTATTTCAAATTGCATGATTATATTAATAAAATGCATTACTTGCCTATTCAAAGACGGTAATACATCCAAACCAAAGAAGGATAGTTACAGTGAGAGAATGTGCTCGTGCACAAGGCTTTCCCGATTGGTTTGTCTTTTATTCCGACAGAGATGATACAAAGGATATGCACCGCCAAATTGGCAATGCGGTTCCCCCACCACTGGCTAATGCTTTGGGTCGACATTTGGTTGAATCACTCTATAAAAAGTATAATGACAACAAAAATGCAAAGGGGAAAGAAAGAGCTGTATGATATGAAATTTGTAACATTTCCCTTTATACGGACTGACTTTGGTCCTTTTAATGCACACTTGATATGGATTTAGCGTTTCGCAACCTTTTAGATACAAATTATATCAACATATTTGTATACTGATAGATATTTAAAATTCTCGATTTAGTGATTATATTATTTTTCTGAAGTAATTTAGGATCATTTGAGATTTAAAATTGCACTAACGTTCAATTAAATGAATAAAAAAAAATTATATATAAAATAATAAGAATTATTATTATTATTAAACTATTTTTTTTTTTGTAACATTATTATATTATTGTTTTTTTTAACAAGTTAAAGCAACCTTTCAAATATTTATATATATTTATTAAAAAAATACTTATATACAGTATATATTTTTTAGAAACCAATAAGCTATACAGGTTAGTTTTTAAGTTATAATAAGAATTTAATAAGTTATTTTTTAATTATATTAAATAAAATATTAAATAAACCAAAAAAAAATAATTTAAAAATAATTTATAATACCTTAAATACTTGTTTAATAAATAATAAAATAATATAATATTTGATTATTTTATATTAAAGTCAATTTAATTAAAAAATATTAAAAATATTTTGATTATATTGTTTTAATACAATTAATTTAATTTGTATTAAGCTTATTATTATATATTTTATATAATTTATTATTTTATAAAAAAATATTTTTTAGTTTTCAAAATAAATAAATTTATTTTACTTATTTGATTTTTAATTAAAATTTTTTAAAAAAAATTTATTTTTTATTTTTTATTTGATTAACTAATTGAATCTTATTTGATATAATATTTTATTTAATTTATATATATATACATACTGTATATTTCTTATATCACAGAAATTAATATCTATAAACTATTTTATATATCTTTAGATTATATTAAATTATTTCATAAAAAATATTAATCAAACTTAATATATTAAAATATTATTAGTATTGCTATTATATTTTTTAGTTTTGTTTCAAATTGTATAATGTTTTTAAAAAAAGTTAAAATAAGAAAATTGGAAGTAATATATATACATGTATATAGTAAATAAAATTCTATAAAAAAAAATTTCTAGAACTATATTTTTGCAAATAAATATATTATTATTATTATTTTATTTTTTATTATTTTATTTTTTTTTATTGACTAAGAGTATTAGGTACAAAACTTTATTTAATAATCTATTATTATTACTATTATATTAAATATCTTTACAAAGTAGGCTATTGCTACTCTATATATAAATTAATGCTCCTTAGTAATATCATTTCCAACACTACTAAGTTTTTCTTAAAATTAAACTGACTATCCTGATTAATCAACTAATATTGTAAAGGTAAGTCTGTATCCAGATAAGATTTACATAGGAGAAAGAAAATCCTATCACTAGTTTTAAACTTATTCTCTTATTGATTCAATCATATTTTTTGACTGCTTATCAAAGAAAGATCATATTACCTTTCAAGAATTTATTAGAACACCCAAATATCCCATATATATTTTTATCCAAAATCTTGAAAAAAATAAATTACTCTTTATCATCACCTGTAGTTTTTGTTTATATCAAGTATATATTCAAAATATAATCTTCTTTTAAGCAAATGCTGAATTGGAATAGTCCAAGCTAGGATCTTCTTGTGTAATAAAGTCTGCTGTTGTCAGTTTGGATTAAAGTTTATAAGCTTATTACTGAAGTTAAACCAAAAATCTTTCCTTGTGCAACTTTTCTTACTTTGACCTGTTTTTAGCCTGCGATAATCAAAAAAATCAGAGATTCCATCTTCATGCAACCTAACTAAATTTGAAAGTGGATTTTTAGCTAATTGAATACAATATGAATTGGAAGCCAGTCAATTAATCATGAAGGTAATAAATTTTTGTAACCAAGTGAATTTTATCTTAGACATTTTTCTGATAATTTATGGAGCATTATCACTATGCTATAGATCCATAGATTCAAATAGATATATTATTTAATTTTTATTTCTTTTAAAACTATTTAAAAATATTTAAGAAATTTATTTTATAAACTTATTGCTTATAGATTATTTTATTTATTGATACTTATTACTGTTTTAACTATCTTCTTGAAATAAGTAACTATTGAAATAAAACTTTTTTGATAATATATAAAAAGAGATATTCAGATACTATAAAAAAATAATTATTAAGTTATCTTATTTGAAATTAATTATCTTATACTCTTTATGATTTTTAGCAATTATTATAATATTAACTAAATAATTATTATATTATAATATCTTTTTTAAAAATCACAATCTCAATATTTGTTAAATTAATATATAAATCAACTTTTTATAAAAAATAATACTTAACAAATTAAGATAAAAAAACTTTTTTCCATACATAACATTTTTCTTAAAAATTTTCTTTTATAGTAATTTTTCAAAATTAGTGAAAATATTTTTTTTGCTTTCTGATACCTATAAGTCCTTTACACCTCTTTAACTTTTAATATCAAAAATCTCAAGGAACTAAAGAAATATATTGGTGCATTAAGATGAAACCTCTGATCAAGAATAAGCAAGCTTAAAGAAACTTGCTTTTTTCTTAAATTGTATAAGAAAAGACTTGTGGCAATTGCTTCTTTACAAGTTTTCCTTGGAGTTTTTCACATTTATATTTCTTATTAAAACACTTCTTATTAATACACAACCACTTTTAAATATTTATGTTCTTGATTTGGAGAACTTTATTTCATTCTAAAATATAAACTTTTATATCAACTTTGTTTATATCACTGGCCTGGAAAATTATTGGTATATATAAAAAACAACTTCTACCATCGCTTAATATATTTTACTGCATCACAAAAAATTAAAAATTCTTGTTCAAAAAATTTTTTTCCAAAAAACTATAATTAGTTTGCCCATGGTATCTGATTAATATCCTACCTTTAACCAATCACATATTACCAAATATTCAAACATGTCTATTATACCTATCAAAGATCAATGTAAACAATATCAAAATAAAAATCCATTTAACCACATGACCTTATTCTATTAATAAACATCAAAACAATAAACACATTTCATCAATTATAAATCAAAAAACAACAATACAGCTCTAACTTTGCAAATTAACAACTACCATACCTAAACCTATCATATTCAAACTATTATTCAACCAAATAATTACTACCATCATGCATTATTAACTATCAAGGATATATGTTATTATTACAACTATATATTTTGAACAGTAGCCTGGCCAATTACAAAAGTATATTCTTCAATATACTCAAACAGATTGGAATTATCAGAGTGGCATACCAAATAAGCATCCTTAATTATATAATTAGTTTTATTATCTTATATTCAAATAACTATCCAATCAATCAACTACTACCACTACATACTATTAGCTATCAAGAATATATGTCATCATCATTACTATATATTTTGGACAGTAGCCTGGCCAATCGAAAAAGTATATTTTTTAATATACTCAAACAGAATGAAATTATTAGAATGGCACTTCAAATAGGCATCCTTAATTATATAACTAGTTTTATTATACTTCTCACTTGTATAGTAACAAATATGAAATTTTTCTTTAATTTTTTTTTTTCAATTTTCTCTTATTTCCTACTTATCTTATATTCAATCAAAAAATTCTAAGTAAGTAGGTATAGTTGCTATTCCACTATATTTAGTATATATAATATTGTTTTAAATTTTATTTTCGATATTAGCTAGGTATAGATATGTAGGCAAGCTAGCATTTAACTTGTTGCATTTCTGTACACAATAGATATTGTTTCTTTTACCATGTATATAACTCTTTAGAATAATACTATTAATAAAGAAATGATGTTTACCTATTAGAAAAAAAAAATACTTAACAAATTATAATATCAAATATTATATTAATTCTATTTAACTATTTTTATTTAAAATTGAATTAATATTTTATAATATAAATCTAAAAATAAAGATAGAACTCTAAATTATTTAACATATAAAATTTTACAGATCAGTTATGTCTTTTTTGAAAAAATATAATTATTTATTCATATTTTTAATAGAAATATGATTTTAAAAACACTTGGATAAAGTTATCTAAATTATAAAAAATCTTTGTAAATAGTAAAAGACATTTGAATTATGTTCTTATCTTTAATTTAGGGATTTATCTTTATCTGAAAGTATAAATTACTATATTATAGATTTATAGATTTTAAATATTTTAAAAAATATAATTATTCTATAAGTTAATAATATATTATATTTAAAAAAAACTCTTATAATATTTCTATTTATAAAAAATTGTTTTTTTTTTCAAGAAACTTTATCTAGCAGAATATATTTTTTGAAATAGAATACAAATAAAAAATTAATTTATAATAACAAAGTTTTAAAAATAAAATAATCTTTTAAAGTTTTAATAATAGTTTGCTCTAAAAGATTTAATAATTAATAATAATATTAATTAATAACTTGAAATAGAGAAGACAAATAAAAAAATAATTTTTTATATAAAGATTATTATTTTATTTTTTTTATTTTTTTTTTAATCCCGCAATCAGGTTGGTGTTATTTATTTATTAAATCATAAAAAACTATTACACATACAAGAATATATGCAAAGTACAAATTTCCTTGATTCAATTTACCCATTGACAGCTGAAGCCTCTAGATATGATTTATGGAAGTGATATATTGTTCCATTAAAGGATGGAATTAAAATACCAAGCTTCCGATAGGATCAAAACCTGCAGATCACCTCCACAGTCATGACTATAAATCCAAATTGTGTCACCCTCTCTTATAAAAACTATGCAAAGAAAAAAATAAATAAAAAAGAGATTTTTTGACAAAAAAAAAAGAAAAAGGCTATCATTTATTCTGACTATTATTGAAAAGATTATTTCAGTGAACTTAAAACCCAAGCCCTTATGGTTTCCCACTTCTCACCACCTGTGGCCAGTCAAACTGTTTAATTTCCATTGGAATAATT